CCCCAAAACCCCAAAACCCCAAAACCCCAAAACCCCGTTTTAGTAGAAATCTTTTGAAGAATATTTCATTTTAGATAAAGGATGGAGAGGAAATTTCCGGATAGAGTAGAAGACCTTACTTGTCTCTTTGCTGAATTTGGACAACTTGCAGCGAAATATAAAGGTAAACAGAGGGATTTTAATTGTATAGCCGTGGATTTGGCAATAGGTACTCCAGAGCAAGATCCTCCTCAATTTTTAAAGGATCAGCTTATTGAAGCAGTGCATACAGGACCACACCAGTATCATCACCCTAGAGGTTACCCACCACTTAGAGAATCTTTAGCAAAGCATTACTCAGAATATTACAAAGTTCTGGAAAGAGATCTCGACCCACAGACTGAAATCCTGGCGACAGCTGGTGGAGTAGCTGGCCTATACTGCTCATGAATGGCTCTTCTTTGAGAAGGAGATGAGATCGTCTCTTTTGAGCCTTTCTGGCCTGGCTTCATCAACATCGCAAAACCAGCTGGAGCAACTTTGAAGGGAGTTCCGCTAAAAATGGTAAAAGATACTGAATCAAAGACAATTTCCTGGGAATACGATTGGGATCTTCTGGAAGAAACTCTTAGTGAGTCCACCAAAATGCTCATGTTGATAAACCCTCAGAGCCCGGGAGGCAGAGTCTTCACTGAAGAAGAGATAGCAAAGATATCTGAAATTATTGACAGAAAGTGCCCAAACTGCTACGTCCTTTGTGATGATGTATATGATTTCTGTAAGTTCGAACCTGAAAAAGAGTACGTACATTTTGCTAACTACGGAAATAACTTTGAGAGAACGATCACTGCTCATAATGCTGGTAAAAGATTCGCATGTACTGGGTGGAAGGTCGGATGGGTCATCGCCCCTAAAGATATTATGGATAGAATAGCTCTGTATCATGAAAGTGCTATTTGGAATTTCAATATCCTTGCACAAATTGCTATGTCAAAATGAATTGCCGGTGAAGCAGATAAAGAATATAAAGGATATGATGATTACTACAAATATATAAGACATACATATTCTGAAGTTAATAAAGGACTCGCTGAAGTGTTCCAACAGTGCTCATTACCCCTATATCCATCAATCGTTGAAGGTGGTTTCTCCATGACACTCGAGATCAGTGAAGTTAAAGATATGATTCCTGAGAAATATTTCTCAGAAGACTATACAGATGACGCAACCATACTCAAGAGAACCTTTGATGACCATAAAGTTCCTCTTGATGTAGCATTCTGTAGATGGATGGCTTGAGAAGTAGGTATTGCCTTCATCCCAGGTAGCTCCTGCTATATCGGCTTGACCAATGCCAGATTTGACTTTGTCAGAATTAGCATTTGTAAGGAGCTCGAAATCATCGAAAAAGTTAAAGAAAAATTATCAGCCTTGCACTAATAATATTGTTGGTTACCCAAAGTGTAAAGTTTCAATTCTCATTCCAAAATGTGGGGTTTTGGGGTTTTGGGGTTTTGGGGTTTTGGGGTTTTGGGGTTTTGGGGTTTTGGGG